GCTCGGCGCGTTTGGGCTCTTGGGCTTCCGAGACCCATCTTCCCTCCTCCCTCCCGCCGCCGCTGCTGCTGCGCTCGGGCTGGCGCACACGCAGTCGCGCCCCACGCTGCTGGGCGTTGGCCCACTGCGAGAGGGAGGGAGAGGAGCAGCCTCTCCGTTGTCCAATGCCGTCCGCTACCTTGCCCCTCCCCCCCCTCGGAGCAGCGATGGGGGTTGGAATCGCCACAGGGCGGGGGGCAGGGGGGGTGGGGGTGGGTGGGGGCGCCAGGGCGGCGGGAAGCGGCAGCCTGGGGAAGGGGTTGTCCGCTCTTGTTCTCCTGGGCCCACGGCCGCGGGCAGGCCTCACGGGTCGTCGTCGCTCGTGGTTCGTCGCTCGTCGCTCATCGTCGTCGTGCGCGCGGACGCGGCTGGAGCCTATTTTTCAAGTCCGCGCTGATGACGGCAATCATCTGGGGGGGAGGAGGTCGATGACGTCACGTTTCGCGCCGGCGGCGTTTGGGAATGGTTAGGAATGACGGAGGACGGGTAGCACGAACATGTAGGTGGCGATATGCACCACAGCGCCTGTGTACATCACACTGCCCGCGTGCACCACAGCGCCTGTGTACACCACACCGCCGATGTACACCACAGCGGCCGCGTGCAACACAGCGGCAGTTTGTGCCACCGTGCCTGCGGGTACAGCAGCTCCTGAGTACACCACGGCGCTTCCGTACACCACATCAGCCGTGCGCAACACAGCACCAGTGTACACCACAATGCCTGCGTGCATTGCAGTGCCTGTGTACGCCACGGCGCCTGTGTGCACCACATCAGCCGTGTGCAACACAGCACCATTATTGTGTATAGAATTTTAGAAGTAATCCTGGTGACAAAATGGAGCGCGTGTGGATTCAGAGAAAACAGTGGAAAACAAATCCTCATGGACAAAGGAGCGCCGCTGGAATCTACGAGTCCTCCCGAGTCCGCCCGCATCACCGTAACTCCCATTTGCGTCCAGGAGGCTCCAGCTAAACTGGCCGTCCGAGAACCGAGTGGACCGATTCAATCGACCATTCTGTGGTGCACGCTGAGATGCGCACGTGCGTTGTAACGCCAAGCCGCACGACAGGGGGTAAGAAGGAGGAAAAGGAGGACGAGGAGGAGGAGGAGGAGGAGGTGGAGGAGGAGAGCGAAGGGAAAAACGTCGCATTCGATGATCAGAACTTTCCTGGCGTGGCGTTTAGTTGTCCGCATCAGATCCTGACGTACATGCTCCTTCTACCTGTCCTATGCACGCAGGCATTGTGGTGTACACCAACGCTGCGTTGCACGCGGATGCTGTGGTGTAGACAGGCGCTGTGGCGTGCACGGTCGCTGCGGTGCACGCAAACACTGTGGTGTACACCAGCGATGTATTGCCCCCAAGTATTGAGTATTGTGGTATACGCGGGCGGTGCGTTGCACACGGCTGTTGCGGTGTACGCAGGCGCTGAGGTGCACACGCGCGGCGTGGTGCACGCGAGCGTTGTTGTGTACACAGGCGCAATGGGCAGATCGCCACTTACATGCTGCTCGCGTCGTCGTCGTCGCTCGTCGCTCGTCGCTCGTCGCGTCGTGCGCGCGGGCGCGGCTGTGGTGCCGGAACCACACGGCGGGGGGGGGCGTCACGTCATATCCCCCCCGCCGTCCCCCCCCCCCCACCATGACGCCCGTCATCGCCGAACATAAAGAATCGCCTTCATGCCGGCCTCTGCCCATCTCCATCCGCAAAACCGCCTCCTCGCATGGCTGTCTCCTTGCTGTCGCATTGGCCTTAGCCACAGTTCGGGTCATTTTGTCCTCCGACTGAAAGGTCGGCCAAGACCAATTCGTACCCCGGGCAACCTGACACACCTGGCCTTGCGTTTTTTCGGTTGGTTGTTGTGGACCTTCTGGGTCGAGCCTCCTCTCTGTGGCGACTTTCATTTTGGCTGGCTCATTGTCGAAGCTTGCATGCGCCCTCCGTACTTCGACGCTCATTGTGCCGCCTTCGCTCCTGCTCCCCCATTCCCTGCCCTTCCTTCCGTTAGGGTTTTTCCTGGAAAGGGCGGGGGCCCAGGGTTCTCTTTTAGTAGGTAAACCTGTCCCCCGGTGCCCAAATGGAGGGAGGCCGGGGGGGGCGGGGGAATTTTTTTCCCTGATAAATAACGACTTCGAAGAGCCTGCGAATTAAATTGAGAAGTCTCGAGCGAAACCGCTTGTTTCCCCGAAGGGCGGGGGCGCCAGGGTTCTCTTTTTAGTGGGTAAACCTGTCCCCCGGTGCCAACTTGAAGGAGGCCGGCGAATTTTTTCCCTGATAATAACGAGGTCGAAGGAGGCCGGCGAATTAAAATTTGAGGATGTCTCGAGCGAAACGCTTGTTTTTGAAATCCCGATCGATAAATCACAGGGTGCGGGCCACTTTTTCGTGTGTTGAGGATGTCTCGAGCGCAACGCTTGCTCCGCAGAGTTTGCCGAGGATGTCTCGAGCGAAACGCTTGTTTTGCAGAGCCGACCGCGACGCGGAAAAGCGCCCCGCGCGAAGGAATTTCGATGATGTCTCGACTAATTCGTTTGCTTTTGTACGATTTCCTGGAATTTTGGCAGGATGTCTCGAGCGAAATGCACGACCCCACCCTAGCACGACCATACCCAGCACGACCACACCCCAGCACGACCAGACCCCAGCACGACCCCACCCCAGCACGACCCCACCCCAGCACGACCATACCCCAGCACGACCACACCCCACATCACGAACCCGACCCCAGCACGACCCTACCCACAGACCACACCCCATCACGACCACCCCCCAGCACGACAAACACCCCAGCACGACCCACCCCTAGCACGACCACGCCCCAGCACGACCACGCCCCACACGACCAGGCCCAGCCGACCACCTCCCACCCACGGAACACACCCCCAGCACGACCACCCCCCAGCCCGACCACGCCCCACCCGACCACACCCCACACGACCCTCCTCCATCACGACCAACAACACTCACCACACGACCACACCCCACACACCACACCCATCACGACCACACCCACACGACCCCACCCCAGCACGACCCCCCCCAGCACTCCCCACCCTAGCACGACCCTACCCCAGCAAGACCACACCCCAGCACGAACACACCCCAGCACGACCTCACCACAGCACGACCACGCCCCAGCACGACCACGCCCCAGCACGACCACGCCCCAGCACGACCACGCCCCAGCACGACCACCCCCCAGCACGACCACCCCCCCAGCACGACCACCCCCCAGCACGACCACCCCCCAGCACGACCACACCCCATCACGACCACTCCCCAGCACGACCACACCGCCTTGGTTGAGTGGTTGCCTGTCGTCGTGGAATGTTTCGTGGGGTGTCTCGTGGAATGTTTCGCGGGGTGTCTCGTGGAATGTTTCGTGAGGTTTCTCGCGGAATGTTTCGTGAGGTGTCTCGTGGGATGTTTCGTGAGGTGTCTCGTGGGATGTTTCGTGAGGTGTTGCCCCGTTGGGTATCGTGAAAACGTGCCCATGCTCCACATGTCTATATCCCTTTCCGGGTTCGTGGGTCCATCATGTTTTTCCGGGGTTTGCTTCGTCTGTGTGGCGCTTCCTCCCCTCTTAGTTGCTTTCTTTTCGCCTGGTAGCGCTTTGCTCTGCTGATCACTTTTGTCTAGTTCTCAACTTTCTCTGCTTCTGCCTCATCCTGCCTCGTGCCAGTTATTCAGCCTGTTAGTTTTCTATACGTCGCAGTGTATTACTCATTGTGTGATTTCCGCATTGGCAGCCCCCCTTTAGCAGCGCGTTGCTTTCACCCTCAGAGTGCTCCTACCACTCCCGATCCCCCTCCCCTAGCGCTGATGGTGTCCCCTTCCCTCCTTTGTGTTCTCTAACTCCTGCTTTTGTTCCATGGGCCAGACGTATCGCCTCTCCTTGGCCGACGAACGCGCACACACATCGGCGTACATGTCCATAAACTTTCGGCGGTCCGCGTGGATTTCTTTGGTCGGCGCTTGATTCCCCTGCCTGGCGCGTGAAAACGCGCCAGAGGCGGTGCCTCAGGCGCCGTTAGGGTAGGCCCAGTGCGGACCCAAGAAATCCACACGGAGTTCCAAACGTGTGCGAGTGCGTATCTGTATGTATATATATATGTGTGTATATATACATATATATATATATATATATATATATACATATACAAATTTATATGAACAAATACGCCCCCCCCCCACCCCTCCCGGGGGTCTCACACCTCCGTGTGACATCTGCCTTACGCTCCCGGCACCGCGCTTCCCGCCACGGACAGCCCAAGGCGACGCCCAGAAGCTTCCAGAACGAAAAAAAGCAGCCCAAGACGCTCCCAAGCAACCCAAGATCTTTTTCGGGCGGCTCTCCAGGCTCCCAGGAAGCCTCCAAGAGACCTTAAGAGAGCTCCGAGAGGCCTCCCGAGAGCGCCCGGAGAACCGAAATCGCTAAGTTTCATGTGTTGTTTCGAAGGTTTTGGTCTTCTCACCATTTCATGCTTCCAACGCTCCAACACGGCCGAAGAGCCTCCCAAGACCGCCCCAAGACCGCCCAAGAGGCCCCCGAGACGGCCCCAAGATGGGCCAAGAAGGCCCCCAGACTGCCGAGGAGGCGCCCAGGACAGCCCCAGACCAGCCCAGAACAGGCTCAATATGAGCCCAAGAGCAGGAGCAGGAGGCCTCCAGAGACCTCCGAGAGGACTCCGCCCCACACGCCCCGCACCCCTGAGAGGCCCCCAAAAAGCTCCGACGAGGCCCCAACAACAGCCCAGGGGACCTTCGAGAGTCGTCCCGAGGGAGCCTGACGAAGAGGGTAAAATCGTTGATCCGTAAGGGCTTCGCCCCCTGCTGCCGGCCCCCTCTCTCGGAGAGTGCGCTATGCAAGAGCTATGTCATGAGGCCTGGGCGCTATCGTGAAGCAGTATCGGAACTTCATGCGAGGCCGTCTCGTAATGAGCAAAACCAGTTGACC